CCTTTGTAAAAGATTGGACCACCCTTTAAATGTTAACGAAGTATATACTCGTCAGAGGAATTTTCATAGAAAAGATGAAGATTAGATTTATTCAATCTTGCTTTCTTCCTGCACGTACTTTGTATTGACAGGAATATCCTGCACCAACTGGACTTCCCTTTATCTCTTCTGATGTTTCTTATATCCTATTATTCTATATAGAACGCTATTTTGCGAAAAGATCGTTATTTTGTCTAATATATTTCATAGCTCCAGGGATGAACGCATGATACCCTTGACGAAGATACACGTGCGAGACAAAATATGTCTATCGAGGTAGCTGATATCTATCTATGTGTAATATTGAACAACGTTAATGTTCATACGTATTTTCTTATTGGAACGATCAGTTCGTTTTTTTGTTGAAAATGCTTCCGAAAATTATTTCATGTATTTGGTGTTCAAAAATTACCAAAAAAAATTCGTTTAATCAAACCAAATCCTGGCGAAATATATGTACAAAAGGATATCAATGGATTCATCAACTTATTGAAGAACGTGGAAGTGATCTTGAAACAGAAATGCTTATTTGTAGTAAATGTCTTACGATGTTATATAAAGCAAGAAAATGTCGTGGAACAGCTAATGGTGGTACATCATTATCGAAGAGAAGAAAAAAAATACCAAAAGTAACAAAAAAAATGATACTTTGGACAATTTAATAAATATAGAAGGTTTTTGTGGTGATGGAAATAATGAAGAATATTGCATTTGGTGCTTAAAATATAGTACAGAAACTGTACCATTATCAGCTGCAGAACGAATATCATTACTTTGTGATTATAAAATATATTGTTCATCCAATGCTCGACGTTGTGTCAATCGATGTTTAGAAATTCCTGTTCAACGAACAAATGAACCAACTCGTCTTACAGCTAAACAAACAATATCAATTTTAAATGATCTTATTGATGAAGTTAATCGTATTAAACTTATGCCAATATTTCTTGAAAATGATTCAGTTGGATCGGAAGAAGATTTTATAGCATGGACCGGTTGGAATTTAAACCAGTTGATGGAAATGACTTCACTTATTGAACCTCATATGTATAAATCAAAACATCGATCACCATTTGGAGCTGTTTGTATGTATTGGATCAAATTGAAAACGAATCTTTCCTTCAGACAAATTGGAACTATATTTAAAATTCAAACAACGAAAGAAAGTATTCGAAAAAGAGTAGAAGATACTTTTCACACGGTTTCTACTCATTTATACAACGCATTAGTTCCATTACATTTAGGTTTCCATCACATTTCCCGTACAGATGCACTTGAACATCATACAGCTTATACGAAAACATTTTTTGGAAATAATTTATCAATTATTTGGGATGGAACTTATATATATACAAATAAAAGTGAAGATCATAAATTACAACAGGAAACATATTCTGGACAAAAATCTCGACATTTAATTAAGTTTATGTCTATAATTTTACCAGATGGTTATGTTTTGGACTTAATTGGTCCCTTTAAGGGTAAAGATAATGATGCTAAAATCTCAAAGGTAAATCATTTATCATATTGACATTATATTTTGTAACGCGAAAAAGTTTTCCTCGGTTTTAAGTATTAAAGTGAAGTAACTATAGTTATAGTGCAAGACTATGGATCCATATCAATCAGAAAAAGACTGACGACTAGTTATAAATGAATCTGATACAGTAGAGTACTTGAAAAATTTTAATCATACCTACTTGAACTGTTTTGATAGTCACCAAAATTCTGTAAATATAGATCTATTTGATTTTTATTTAGGCAATTCTTGATATGAATGATAATCTATCAATTATTTGTGAACCAGGTGATACACAAATAGTGGATCGTGGTTTCAGGGATGTTGCTGGGGTGTTCGAAGATTTAGGTTTTGCTGTAAAGATGCCTGGATTTCTAAAACAAGGTGAAAAACAACTTACTGCTGAACAAGCTAATGATACCAGAATGACAACGAAAACCAGATGGGTGGTGGAATCTTTCCATTCTCAATTTAAAAAATGGCGCTTTTTCTCTGAACGAATATCTCAAGATTATATTGCATATATTGATATCCTTGTTCGAACAGTTGCAGCAAGTTTAAATAAATATAGATCTCGTCTTTATGAAGGTAAATCACCAGAAGACTATGCATTAGCCAATAAAATGTTATTATTAAAATCTCGATCAAGTCATCTTGAACAACTAATTATTAATGGTAATTTATCATTACGAAAACAATGGAACAATATATATGATATTGAACCAGATTTTAATTTTCCTTATCTTACACTTGATTTCCTACGTGAGTACACATGTGGAATATATCAAATAAAACAAAGCTCATCATATGCAAAAGCTCATTTATTTAATAACGACGATCAATTTGAATTTCAACTTTTCTCTTCTAATGATTCTCTTCTTCATTGTCGATTACACAGCAAACATTCAAGAACAACTAAATATTATTTATGTATTCAATTTGACAATGATGATGATGATGATCCAATAAAAGATCATTATTGTCAATGTAAGTCAGGAGCCCGAAATCTAGGATGTTGTTCCCACGTAGCCACTGTGGTCTGGTACATTGGTTATGCGCGTCATATCTCCTGGACTCCACCTACACGTACTCATATTTTTCGAGAAAAAATTTTCGTCTGTTGAATAGATGTTAGTTTGTTCTTTTTTCTTGAATTCTTAACACTAATTACAAAAATAAATAAAAGAAAAAAATATTTGTGTATTCAAGACTTCAACATTCAGATATTTTGAATATTATAAATGATAGATCAGCGAAA